TCAGAGGGAAGGTGTTTCCCAAGTATTGGAAGACTGTCCTACGGAAGAGGAAGACTGTCCTACACAAACTCAGGAACTCATCGCTGCAACTGTCTTTCCTTCCACGAATCAGACTGAACAGTCTTCAGAAGAAGAATGACAAGTTTACACTTCTCGGCGAAGGAAGAAGGCTGGGGACACTGTTCAGCTTGGAAACTTAAAGGATGATACCTTGGTCAATCCTGACAATGGAACAACACTTCAAAGTTTGCTATCTGGATCCCCTCCAAGAACCAGAGGAAGAGACAGGTCTAAACTGCCTCGTCCATAAACACTTGTTTTTGCATGTTTTCTTTTTATTTGAGTCTTTTGTATCTTTTTTTGTTGGGATATCTTGGTATCATGTGTCGTATGAGTAGGGCATCATCTATCGGGCCATCTCATGCAACCTTTTGTATCCTTTTTTATTTCAATAAAATTTGTCAAGAGGTGTGAAAAATTAAGTATTAAAATTTTAGTATTTTCTACCCGCACACATTGTCAAAAATGTCATATTACACACCGGTATATAAAGCTCCCTTTTTTAAGTTGAGTTCCCTCTACCATTTTAAGAATAAGCATTTCTTCACTAACCTAGAATACCCTCACAAAAACTAAAGTTCAAAGGGTTTGCTTTCAAAGATTTCAAATTTGAATGTTTATCTTTTGAAAGTTGACTTCTCGCCTCTCTTCACATTTTTCTGTTCCACACACAGTGAGATTGATTGTTACTCTTCAAGATTCTGGTTTTAGTACATGAAATGAGGTTTTCCTGCTGCCGAATACTGCACCTGGAGGTTGAACTGGTTCAGCTGAGAGGGAAATAGGGCCGGCTGGCTTTAGGAAATAGGATTAAATATGAGGGGTTCCCACCTCTCCTTGCTATTCACTAGTATTTATATGTGTTTTGTGAATTTTGGATTAGTTTTTGCTTCAACTGTTGTTTGCATCTTTTTTCCTTGCCAGAGTTGCATCCAAGGGCTGGTGGTGCTCTCGTTGTGTCCTGCACCGTGGTGGTGATTACCTTCACATATTCCCTTTTTTTCCCCTCGCCTACTTGCCGCCGCCCTCCCTATCCATCTTGTTTGGTTGCTGCCACCCCTCCTGCACTGTTCCACTGCTGCGGCCACTCCTGCACATTCCCATGTTGCCGGCACCCTTCGTACACCCTCTTGCTCACAGCCACCCTCTCCCTATGTTGCTTCCTTATTGTTGCCGCCTTTCCAGCACCAGCCCAGCCTGCTAACAGCTTTCCCAAGCCACCTCATCGCTGTCTCGCTGACTATCCTGCCACACTCTTAGTGGGATATTTGTGGCGTTTCGTTTTTTCATTTCTGTTTCAAGTTTTTGGTTGTAATCATGTGGTTTTGCATAATAAAATTTACTTCCTCTACTGGTTTTAGGTTACTCCTGTATCAGAACATGTATGACTTTTGTTTCTTTCTTTTTTTTTTCTTTTTAGCTAATGTGTTTAATCATAATACCCTTGGTTAAGGTAATTCTCTCCTTCATAAAGCTATCCTATAAAGATTAGATTCCTTCTTTCGTTTGGGATATAAATTACTTTATAAAGCTTCCATGCAGTATCATTAGTAGTTTTGATTTTAACGTCATTGATGCCAACAGTGCATAAGTGCATTTCATTGGCAAGGTGAATTTCGTCATAATTTTCTACATGATAATCAGACATAAGCTTTTGTTAGATTCTTTTATGTGAGCAGCTTTTTTATGTGCATGACATTACCTTAACAGGCATGTTATTCTACAACCTTGGGACTTCTATCCATTTTGCTAGTTGTGTATACTTCTTTTTTAAAGAATTGAATCTAACTCTATTGTTCTTTCTGTTCGTGCATTCACCTAATTCTCATTTCCAAACGACCCACTTAAGATAGCCTTGGATGACATTAACCTTCAGCTTAATAAACTCAAGAACTCAAAATCTTGGTCAAGGATGATAGAAGCATGAGGAATTAACTCCATCATCAAAAATTGGACATCAATTAAACCCGACTTAACTTATATTTTGAGGTTGAATTCTTTAATCAGTTCTGCTACAAAAGCATCTTTCATCATCTTTAGATAATTAATTCTCAATATAATTATCTTATTTATTGTTCATGATTACTATATATTTACTTTTTCTAATTATGGTCTTCTTTAGTTAGATAATTGTCAGTAGAATTTTCTTATTTATTGGTCATGATTACTATATATTTACTATTTTAACTAAAAATTATAAGGTCATTTCAAGTAAAAATTTTGTATTCAATGTCAATTTTTAGTTTTTGATTTTAAGATGAAGAGTTGGAAAATAAAAATTATATTGAAACATTATCATAGAACTATTTGAGGGCACCCAAACGACAAATAAAATTATTTTTATAAATAAAATTCAATATTTCAAGAATTGAGATAGTTTATCAACAAGTTAATTCTATATGGGATAAAGTAACATGCATTATTAAACAAGTGTGAAAAGATATACTTGGAGAATAAAAAGAAATTTTTTTATAAATAAAAATAGTTTCTGGTGGAATAACAATATGCAAGAAAAGATAAAATGTAAGAAGTTGTGTCATAAAAATTTATTTAAATATAAAAATTTAGAGAACTGAGAAAAATATAAAATGATCTTTATGGAGTCTAAAAGAGCAATTTGTAATGTTAAGAATTCTACTTTTAGTGACATTTATAATAGATTAGATACTAAAGATTGTCATAAATATATGTATAAATTAGCCAAACAACGAGAAAATAATACTAAAGATTTAATTCAAGTAAAGTATATTAAAGATGAAAATCAAAAAGTGATTTTCTTAGAGAAATATATTTAATATTGGTGGGTGAGATATTTTTATAAATTTTTCAATGAAGTTTCTAAAAATACGATCGATCTTAGTGATCTTAATATCATTAATAATAATAAAATATTTTATTTTTACCGCTGCAATACTTAAAAAGAAAGTTGGGGAGCTGCATGGAAAACTAGTAGGACTTGATGATACCCCAATTAAGTGTGTAAATATTTAAGAGATTTGGAAGTTTTTTGGATTACTAAACTTTTTAATATTATTTTTGGAAGTTTTTGGATTACTAAACTTAAATGTCTGAAGAGTTGAGAAAAAGTATTTTGGTCTTCATTTATAAGAATAAAGCGGGTGCATAAAAGTATGCAAATTATAGAGGAATTAAATAAACTAAAATTTAGGGAGAGTGATTAAACTAAAGTTGAGACGTAATTCAAAGTTTTCTCATTATTAGTTTGAATTTATGTTGAACAAATCTGCTGCAGAAGCTATACATTTATTGAAAGGCTTGATGGAAAAGTGCGGAGAGGGTAAGGAGAATCTACATATGATTCTTATTGATTTAGAGAAGCTTACGATAAGATTTCAAGAGATGTTCTTTAGAGAGTTATAGAAAAGAACAGTGTTGGTATGACTTATTTTCAAGTCATTAAAGATATGTATTCTAGATGTAAATTTCTGTTTTTTTATTCGGAGGAGAAAACGAGGAAAACCGAAAGGAAATGGAAGCGAGGAGTCGAGCAAAAGGGGGATATGATAGGAGAAGGTTAGAAGGTCGAAGAGAAGAAGAGGAAATGAAGAGTCAAACAAGAGGAAAGATGAGGCAATGAGTTGGGGTAATCGAATATTACTTTCACCCTATAAAAGGATGCACTTGAGGGAGGCAAATGTGAGAAAGACTTACTTGGGAGTTGAACAGTGCGGGAGACATCTTAGCCGGCGACGAGGAGGCTTGAAGAATTATCTAAGTCGATCGTCAAGGGACTCGGTGTGAAGGAGAATTGATAAGGAGCAAGGCTGAGTATTTTACGCAGGAAGAGGCGGTGTTGGTGTTGGTGTCGTTGGACCGATTGAGGGAAAGGAGAATTATGGATATTTTTTTTTAGTTTTTCTAGTGAACTTAATTTTGATAATCATGTATATATTTATGCATTGTGCTAAAAAAGATCATTGAAAGTAGGATTGGCTTGTAACTTGGATCAAAGATAATAAGTTGGTTGTCTTGAATCAAACTTGACTTTATCCTACATGGTGTTTGGCGGTTTAAATAATTTTAAATTTTAGACATATTTGGTTCTTAGATTAGGATTATCTCAAGGATCATTTTTAAAAATTTGAATTCATTTTTTTTAAATTTAAAATTTATTTAAATTATTATTTGTACCTATGGAGTTCATTGAGCTTTCTCAACTTTTTTTCGTATTTATAGATTTTTCATGATTTTTTTGATGAATTATTTAATTATTTAGGTCAAATCAACATAGTTTCATAATTTTTTGGACAACTGAAATTCAATCATCATGAATATTGGTCCATAAATTAAGACTATTGTAATGCTCAGTCAGCAAAAAACTTGAGCCCATTTGAAACTAAATTGTATTTTATAAAATTAAAAGCAATAATTAGAATTAATTATATAGAAAACAATGAAATAACATTCTCGATCTCTAGACATTTTTATTGTAATTATAATTCGTTATCCATGAAATTAAAAAGTTTGGTGGCGTTTTGAAAAACAAAATAGTAAGAGAGTTTCCCAAATAGACCTAAATTGTAGCAAGGAGCCACTGATTTATCGAAAAAAATAAAATAAAATAAAATAATATATTATTCTTTTCTTTTTTGGATGGAAGTACCATATCCGCTAGAAGCCTTCTCACTAATTCGATTCTTCATTCTCCATCATTTTTTCTAAAAATATAAAAAAGATCAATGAATTGCTAGAATGTGATAGAATTTGGAATACTGAAGTTTTATAGCCCATGAACTTTTATTTTATTTTACTTTATTGTACTTTTTCAATGATATCTTTATATTTTATTCTCCAAGCTTCACCTTCCATCTTTTTATTTATTCAATTGCTCGTTACCAGCGTCTGTATTTCATTGTTTACTGCAAGTAGCCCATAGCTTTATATTAAGCTTAACGTTTTCTCTTTCAACTGATTTGCAGGCCTCATATGCGAATGCATTGCCTGTCCTTGATATGTGCAAGCAGTGGTTGAGTCAGTACATGTAAATTTTTGTAGGCATAGTTGTCAAATTTATTGATGAAATTAAGGAGATGTTGAGGGTGATTTTTGCCCTCCAATATCAAAAAATAATGTCATGTAATAATGTATAATATCTCTATTATATTTTCAAACTTCATATATGTATATGTTTTGATGCATCTACTTTTGTAGATTACTTGGAAGAAGTTTTCACAGGATCAATCCTGTCAAACCGACTACTCTCAGCCAGGGTTTAAAAAAGAGGGCTTTACTGCACAATAGGTTAATTAAAAAAAAAAATTTTTACTCTTTATTACCTTTTATGATGGCAAACTGCTCTGCAAGTATAAATATGATATATTTTTCACGTTTTGATATCTCATGTGTCCATATTTTCTTATGAACTCTTCGCCTACTACATCACATCCAACGGAATAGAAACCAGATGAGCTTGATGAGGAGGCTTTGGTAATTTATGAACAACCATATCTTGCTTAGTCTGTACATGCATGTAGTTATACATAAATCACATAATGTATCAACATGTTGATTTGTTGTATGGTTTCCTAAAGGAACCAACATATTATACCACCTAAAATTGAAAACTCCTTGCATATCAAATTAACACCAACTGACCTTATTCTGCACTCATCACAATCATCGACGAATAACAGGTTACAATTCTCACCATCTAATCTCTAATCACTTGTAGCAAATTGTACAAACAGTTACCTTTGTTATGCATGACATTGTATCATGTAATAGATGCTGAAATTAATATAGTTCTTTCAAATTTACAATTTAATGTGTTCTCTGCACGTTTCATTTCATCTGCTGAAAGCTACTCACATTGCCTAATATGATTCTAATATGGAGTTAGACATTGTATTGAAGACTCGTCGCAAGGCTTTTCTACCTCCCAAATCTTACAACCCTTCTTCCTGCAATGTCACTGTAAGGCTCTTCACTCCAAACCCCGCAACTCTCTTCAAGATAGAAGGCGACCCCATGTCTGAAAACTCAACAAACAAAAACATCACTTGCATCTCAAACCCACTCAAATTAGCCAATGTTATCATACAACCTCATCTGAAATCATCATCACTGACATTAAGACCATAATCGATATGCAATTAACTGTAGAAAATCAATCAACCTAGAAGTTTCAAATTTTGAAGTTATTTGCTGCCAAAGATTTTGTGACTACCTAAATAGATCCCAAATTTTGAAGTTATTTGCTGCCAAAGATTTTGTGGCTACCTAAACACCACTTGACCCCATACCATTACTCGAGTTGATGCACTTGAGCCCAACTCATTTTACAATCTATGGCTTCTCATGGACCAGAACTTGGATATATGCCTCTATACTATTTCACTATCTCTTCATCCTTGCGTCCTTAATCTTAAATCATGTCAAGAAATATAGGTTACAATTGAGCATCGTGTCCAATCTACAAATTGTTCTCATATTTTAGCATAAGAACAAGCTCTACTATCTCTTCAGGAAAGATCAATCTATGAGGCAATATCTCTTTGCATCCAAATCCAAAGTGGATGTCATGGTGCCATGAGATGCATCACTCAATCAGGAAAACATCATTCATTATATATTAAACGACCTACCAACAACCTACTAGGCCTTCAAAATAGCCATTAGGATAAACCTCCAACCCAAAAGCCTTAATGATCTTTATTCCTTACTTTGCAGTTAAGCAACTAACATTATTGGCGAAGCTCAATGCGATCTTCACCTAGCTACTATATATATAAATTTCATCTCTGCTACTTATGAGACCATTTGTACCATTTTCTAGATGAGTATACATTTTATTAGTTGTAGATTATGTTTCAAAACGGTTTGAAGTTGTTGCTTTACCTCTTTGTGAATCTCAAAGTGTTGTTAAATTTTAAAATATATTTATTTTACAAGATTTAGAATGTCGAGAGTGATCATTACAGATGGGAAAAGTTATTTTAAAAACTTTAGGATTGAAACATTAATGAGGAAATATATAATTAATCATTGAATTGTCACAGCTTATCATCCTCAAACTAGTAGTTTAGCAGAAGTTTTCAATTGTGAAATTAAAGGCATTTGGGAAAAGATTGTAAATCCGAGAAGGAAGGACTAGTCTGCTAGAATTGATTCTGCATAATAGGCCTATAGGTCAGTGACCCCATCCACAATTATGTGTATTTTAACTCTATAAAAGATTATCAAAAACTTGACCCAGATATATTCAGTGGTTAGTATGAATAAATGTAATGATACAAAAAATAAATTATTAAACTTCATACTATAGGTACTACACAAGTGTACGTATCGTTTCAAGTAATATAGGATTTTCTTTAAAACCCCCAATATTGATCTCACGATGATAGTTGAACTATTTAAATTAGTTTGCTAAACTCAAAAGCAAGTTTTATTTAAATTTTAGATTTAAATTAAAATGAAATGATAGTAACTATTAAGACTAAATTAAAGTAGATGGAAACAACTATATTCAATGGTTTAATTAAAGTAATTCTAACAAGTTTGAATAATATGTAAAGATCTTTTCCCTTGCAATGTGATTATAATATATGTAGGATTTGAATGATAAAATATGAGGATGTATTGTGACAAATATGAGCATTCATATTCTTTATTCCTGGTGCTAGCAAAGAACATTGGCTAATTTAGAGTTTTTCACGAGCTTGTGTAGTAATGTTGAATAGATTCTAGTCTCTTACCTCTAGATTACCCATTGAGTCCTCTCTATAGGACCTATTTAGGACCCTTACGATCCAAACTCTAACCAAATTTGAAAAAAAATAGTTTGTCACCCTAGAAACATCAATTCTACGCTCACAAAACTTATCTCCTTATCTATTTGCACTCCCCCTTAGGTGATCGCAACGGCTCTACCCAGAATGAAATGTGACACTCAATAGTTGGGTGAAATCATAACCCTCCCGGGTTTTTATGTTTCTCAACGGATTTTAACCTCACAAGTGACTAATTTGTAATGTCAATGAAAAATCATTGAAAATGTCATCACATTTTTTAAAAGTAAAAAAAAATCTTTAAATCATTATTATCTCACAACAATTGATTCCCAAGAGCAAGAAGAAAGAAAGGGAACTGCTCATAATCCATGGAGAATAAAACAAAAACATCAAATTTGTATTAAAATTCAAGTCGTAGAAACAAAAACTTAAACACAAATACAAAGTATCATATGTTTTTTCCTCAACACAAATTCTCGAGTCTCCTTGAAAAAATCTTCAAACTCTTACTCTTACAACACAAAACACACATAAACTCACACTAAAACACAAAAGTGAGACTTCCTATAGCCTTCAAATAATGTCAAAAGTTCTTTTTTCGTTCAATTTTCATCCATATTAATAGATCTCTGAAAATAATCAATAGTTGCTTCAAACACCCTTTCAAAATTTGGTCAAATTCAATGGATCTACTATAAGGGAAGTTACTGGCGCTACAGCGTTGGTCTGGGCGCTATAGCGGCCTCTGCTCGCATTTTTGGCGCTATAGCACTAGAGGGCGGCGCTATGGCGCAATACAATTTGCACAATCTTTAGTCATTTTTCCCTTATTTTCTCCAAATATCCATTCCATATATATAAAACCAAAAACATACAAAAATGTCTTCCTTTAAAGTGCAATATCACTAAAAATATGCAAAAAAAGATCAAAAAATATGTACTAAAAACAAAAATAAACACTAAAAATATGTAATTTTAAGGTGGATCATTCACCCAAACTTAAACGTTATTTGTCCTCAAGTAACTCTTTTATACTATGTGAAAATTATAACTTGTGGTGGTCTTGTGGTAGTGAGTTTAAT